AGCTGTCTTGTCTGTAATTACCAACCTTGCCAGGGGCATCAGACTGGCAAGGCAACAGCTCATTTCCAAAGGGCCCCACCACAGAAGCCTCTGCCTCCCACTCTGCACCATGCAGAAGGGGGAATAAAAGAGATGAAAAGTTCTGTCCAGGTCACCGTTGAGAAAGTGACAAATGGCTGTCGAAGACCAAACACGATAGAGCCCGTCACATCTCTGCTATCAATATCACACGCAGCACAGGACTACCCACCTGTAGAGGGCGAGAGGCTTCAGGTCAACTCAGAGAGAGAGGAAATTGATTGGAGGCAAAGCAGGAAGACGAATTCGCACAGGGATGAGAGTAGAAGCACGCACAGGGCACAGGTGGGAGCTTCGAGGAGAGAGGAGGAAACAGTAGGTTTAAAAAAAAAAAAAAGACCTGAGAAGAGACAGACTATCATCCCAGTCTCTCTCCCCGATGCAGCCACTTCTACCAACAAACACCACAGACAGGAAAGAAAAGGGATCATTAATTCTGTTTTATAGCTAGGGAAACTGAGACCAAATCCTCACTTCGTACTTCAAGATCCAGCAGGACCAAACCCCCCAGTCTCCTTCCTGCTCGTGCTCAGCCTCTACCAGCCTCTACCAGCCAGCCCTCCTCAGGTCTCTCCGTCTTTCTTTCCTTGAAAAACTGCTAAGGGCCAGGCGTGATGGCACAGGACTGAGCCAGAGAGGCAAGCAGATCTCTACGAGTTCCAGGTCAGCAAAGATAAAAAGCAAGACTTTGCCTCAAGATAGATAGATAGATAGATGGATAGGTAGGTAGGTAGGTAGGTAGGTAGATAGATAGATAGATAGATAGATAGATAGATAGATAGAAGACAGGCAGATAGATAGATAGGTAGATGATAGAGAGAGGATAGTGAGAGATAAATGGGGTCTTCTAAGAAATATGTGTGTAGTAGAATATTACTAAGCCATAAAAAGGAGCGATGTACATACATGCTGCCACAAGACTAAGCCTTTCAAACATGTTCAGTGGAGGAATCCAGACATAAGATGATGAAATTTGGAGGAAATAGCCAGAGCAGGTAACTCCACAGAAACAGAATGCAGGTTAAGGGTGGCCAAGAACTGAACAAGAGGGCATTGGGAACTTAGTGTGCCTGCAGTTCCTTCAGGACTAGCAAAAATGTCCCACAACTCGGCAGAAATGGCTGCAGAGTACTGCGTGTGTGCACAAAACTCCACTCTCTTTAATGTTCATTTCATGTTAACTTCTAAAACTCCAGCGGCCAACACATCTCCTTCAGGAACCTTGCCCAATACTCCACCTCAGAACCAAACTCTATGCTGCAAGGGCCTCCAGAATACACCTCCATCCGGCACTCAGGGGCTTACGGGGATCGACGTGTTCAAGCATGCTTCCCCTGTGAACAGTGTCTTCTTCACCTTCCATCCCCCGTGCTTCTCACAACACCTAGCAGAAAGTGGACCGCACTGGCTGTGATCTGCCAGAGGAGAGCACAAAGCAAGCTAGCTCACTCCCCTGCCCCACTGCCCGGACCTCCATCGCTTACTACAGCCATGGATTAAAATTCAAGCCACGCCAGCCAGGACGTACTAAGTCATTTCCCCTGTGCCTGGCACTGAGGAACATACTCTTCCCAGGTTGTTTCACTTGGTCCTCATGAACCTAAGAGGTGGGGCTTATCATCAAGCCATGTAACAGGTGAGGCTTTACAAAACTTCTCTGTTTTGTCTGAGGTCACAGAATTAGGAAAAGCTAGAAGTTAAAGAGCAAATTGTCAACAGGAGAGCAGTCACAGTACCAGGAGGGGGACTTGAAATTCCTTGTGGATGGGCTCAGAGCGGCCTTGGAGGATGGTGTCTTAGAACACCTAGGCGGCTAAGGAATGGAACTTAATTACATGCATCCGGTCACATCGCTCTTAGACTAAGTGAAACTGTCTGACTCTTCCTTTTGTCTCACAGTGTGGGAGCCAGCAAAAGAGAAAACCAGAGTCCCTAAAGCTTAAAAGGAACAAAGGGCCAGGGAAAGGGGGATCTCTCTCCTCAAGTCCTACAAGAAGGTGAGGGAGCAAAGGAAGAGAAAGGAAGGCAGCCCTGTAGGAATTAGAGAAAGTAGAAAGCAGGACCAAGACAATAGAGAAGGAGGGGCCAATGTGGCCACTGGTTTCCAGTCTGGAAGTACTTTCTGAAATGGCACTTCCTATTGTCTAACCACAGTTCCTCCTGCTTGGAGGGCAACTCCTACTGGTGGTGAGCATAAACTGAGCAAATGAGGCATGCCAAAAAGTCAGGCACTTGTCTTAGACACAAGCGCTTTGCAGGTTTGGTGTCTGATTTGAAGGAATGGAGCAGTGGGGTGGGGAAGGGGACATCTAATCCTTTCCTAGCCTGCTCCTCTTCCTAGTCCAACATTTTCTAAACCTCTCCACTCTTTCCAAAGGCTTTATGAAGGGTAGGGAGCTCTGAGGACTAAAGATGGAACATTCCAACTGCACATGCCCATTAGAGACCAACATTCCAGTTGCAATTACCCAGGGACTCTAATGGGCCCCTGTCTTAAAACCGGTGTCCCCGCCTAACTAACCTCTGGCAGCAAGTGGGAAATGGTTGAGAACTTGAGAACGTGCAGCTGGGAACAAGACTTGGGTCCCAGAGGAGATGATCACCCCGGTCTTCCTTTCACCCCAAAGGAGAATGAACAAGAGCAAAGAGAGAAAGAAAGAAGGTAGCCACTGCTATTCCTCAGAGAAGAGATGTTCCCCTCATGGTCTCTGACTTCCCACCCATTCTCATGATGAAGGCAGGACCTTTCCCACAATGTGGACAATCTGGCCCCTGGCACGCTCAGCGCCAACACACACACACACACACACACACACACACACACACACACGAACATAAGCACACATACACACGAACTCACACACAGACACATTCACACAGAAACACAAACACAAGCACACGTGTACATATTAACTCACGCATTCACACATATGTGCACACACAAACGTACACACATGTACACACACACAAGGCTTCTCATCAAGAAACTACAGGACACACTACTCGGACACCTGCAGAAACTCCCAGAGAAGCACCCCATGTCACTTTCTCAACCCTGCACCTCCCTACCAGGTCTCATGCTGTGTGCATGCTTCTTCTCACCCCCCAGTGCGCGCGCGCGCGCGCGCACACACACACACACGTGTCTCCGGATCCTATAGGTAGGGCAGAGTTGGAGGGTTCTGAAGCAGTCACCTTCAAGACAGCTTTCCAAGAGAACTGTGGCCTCAGAGAAGGAACTGGGGCAGAGAAGCCATGCATGTGGCCTCAAAGAACACTAGAGACCAGCCTAGAACAGTGGGGGAAGGTCGCTACTCTTATGTGTGTCCTTGACTCATTGAACCCCAAAATTCCTTTAGGACTACAGAGCCCCTCTACCTCTCCTGAGCCTATTCCCCACTCCCTCACAATACACGCCATCTTCCAGAAAAGTCTACCTTCCCAAATACGCACCACCTCATAAAGCTCACTAACCCCCAAATGCACGATCCCCATGAGGGTCTCAGATCCTCAAGACACTACCCTTGAATCTAGGCAGAGCCATTCAAATCCTGCACAACCTTTCCTGTGGGCTTTCGGCCAGGAAAATCTGCCTGCAGAGACAAGAGATACCCCCAATACATACTCAAAAATACACACCCTAGCAAAGGCAGGCACACACATTGACATCTACCCATCAGTACAGGTTACTCACGAGAGCACAGATTCACACACACACACACACACCCGTTCCCACCACACCGGTGCACACACAACTATCCACATATACCACCCATTCTGCTCTTATAAACCCACCTTCTCTAATACCTATCCACCTCTTTCCTATAAGCCCCTCTCTCAGCACATACACAGATACACACCCCTTCCCTAGAGTATACACACAAATACATACCAAACACACAACAGATATGTGGCCAGCTCTCTCTCTCTCTCTCTCTCTCTCTCTCTCTCTCTCTCTCTCTCTCACACACACACACACACACACACACACACACACAGAGAGAGAGAGAGAGAGAGAGAGAGAGAGAGAGAGAGAGAGAGAGAGAGAGAGAGAGAGAGAGAACCATCTACAACCCAGGGCCCACCTGCGGGAACACGCAGCACGTCAAGGCGTGCACACACACACAAAAACAAAGAATCATGCATACTGATCCCCCAACCAACCCTTTAAAACTCACTAACGCAGTGTCCAAGACCTTCGATGAGTAAATAGGACGAGGGAGAGATGATGTCGTTTCCCACAACCCACCCCGACACACATTCCCCGGTATCGCTGCAAGTCCCATCCTTGGGTCTCTCTCTCTCTCTCTCTCTCTCTCTCTCTCTCTCTCTCTCTCTCTCTCTCTCTCTCTCACACACACACACACACACACACACACACACACACACACACACACACTGCTGTCCAGGGCCATCTCTCAGGGATCCACTCTACACCATGTACATAGAGTTCATGAACCTGCCCCTTCCCTCCCGACACTTCAAAGGTGTATACGCAGCCCGACATACCTTTAGCTTCCAATACCTCCAGCCTCCGATCCTTCCTTGGCCTCTCCCACCACCTCCAACACACGCTTCCCAATCCCCAGCTTCAATGGGCTCCCTGGGGACCGTTCAAGCGACCGACCCGGGCCCCCAGCCCAGGAAAGTCCCCGGCTCTTAAGGCCTGGGCTCCGCCCCTTCCCCACGCACCCTTTCCCCTCCCCAAAGTTGGGGGTACTCCGCCGGGCAGTAGAGAACAGACCGGAAGAGGGTTGCCTCAAGCCCCCCTTCCCCCAGAAGCCACCCCGCTTTCTCCAGGGCCGGGCGCTCCCTGATCCTTTGCATGATCTCCTTTTTTTTTTTCTGCTGCTTTCTTTCTTTCTTTCTTTTTTTCTTTTTTTTTGCAAACTTTGCCCGCGCCCCCGCGGCCCGCCACTCACCCGCCGCTGCGAACAGTCGGTTGGACTGGGCGCACGCCCCGCTCCGCTCCGCGCCTTTGTATCCGCAGCGCACCGGGTCGCTCCGAACTCCGCGCTCCAGGACCGGCAGCGCGGCCGATGGGGGTTGTTGAGGGGGGCTCCTAAGGTCGTTCACCCCGGCTTCGTCCCAGACCACTCGCCTCTTTCCCCCTCGAGGCCCCGGGGGCAGGGGGCCGGGGGAACTGCAGGGCGCTCAGGCTCCCATGGCGGGACCGAGGAGGACCAAGCAATCGGGGATCAGGAATCAGATCTCCAGCCGGCGGCGGAGGGGGAGGGGACAGAGAGGGAGGGGACCGGAGGGGGGCAGGGGGCGGGGAGCCTGCTCCCAGGTGCCGCCTCCCGGCTGTTCCCGCAGCCGCCGCCCCTCCCGCCGCTGCGTCCATTGTCTGCGGCCCGGCTCTTCCCCAAGTCGTGGCACCCCCAGCTCTGCGCCTGGCCATGCCCTGCGCCCTCGGGATCCTGGGAATCCTCTCCGGGTTTGCGAACCTGGCCAGGAAGGTGGGCTTGATGCTGCCTCGATTCTTGGCTTTGGTCCAGCCCGCAGCCCCTCTTGGCTGTCTCCTTCGACCCCCCGTTGAAGACCTTTTCCCTAGGCCCTGATGCTGGCCATATTCTCTTCTTTGGGACCACAAACCCGGCCACATGAAATCCATTGGAATCTGAGACGTGGGAAGATTGATCCCCCCGGCCCAGAGCTGCGAAAAGGGTCATCCCTGATTTTAATTAGTGACAAGAGACAGGCCCCTCTCCCATGTATACAGAATTTCCCTGACACCATCGCCACCATACCCCCCTTCTTCCAAAAATAATTTAATTACTCGGTGTTCTAGCTGTGAGCGACGACCGCCTAGTCAGACTGGGACGCTCGCTCATTAACACGTTTTCCTCCCCTCTGGTTTGAGTGTTGGGATTAATTACAAAGGGAATCCTGCCCTACGGGAACGGGGGAGGGGGAATCGACGACTTCAGGCGGCGGAGGAGAGGGGGGCCTTCTCCCAGGAACCTAGAGTAAAAAATGCCTGGGACGGTGCGGAATTCCTAGCTCTCCACCCATGGACTTTTGGGTAGTTAGCGTTGCAAGTAGGTCCCAGAGAATGTAGGTTAGCACAAAATATCTGGCATTTCCACTTCAGAGCACACTAAGAAACAGAGCTCCTAAAGTGGGAAAGAACCCAACAGAGGAGAGCCTACCATAAAGTGGCTGTGGGAAGGCCAGGTTGCCTTTGGAGTGAGTGAAAGCAAAAGTATTATTATATCGCCGCTAGTATTATTTACCCTGTAACCTGCCACTTACCTTGAACAGTATGGCTTCAAAAGCATCTTCACACACGTCTCAACACCCCACCATCTCCACCTTTCAATTCTGATACCTGCCCTCCCAACCCTGTGATTAAGAAATCCCAGGGAAGGCGACTCCCAGCCTCCTTTCTCTGATAGTCTTTCCAAAAACTCCCCCTTGTCACTGCTGTACATCTAACCGGTCCCCAAATGAGGACAGGTTGTCTTTATCTGCGTTATGACCGTTGGAAGGTGAAGAACCGAAACAAATGTGTCCTGTCCACCTTGCCCAAACCCTTGCTTTTCCTCGGCCACTAGTTTTTTTTTTTTTGCTAACCATTATGGGTTAGCAAAAAATTTAACACCAAGACTTCAATAGTCATCATTTCAAGTACCACAGCCTGTGCAAACACAGTGGCCCTCATTCACCTACGTCTATCTTGTACTAACACTGGGCTGTTCTGGGGGTCCCATAACACCAGGAATGTAAGGGAAGGACACATGGCAGGCGAGCAGGAGACCATAAAAAGAGATAGTAAAGACATCAGAGTCCCCTGCCCCGTCCAAAGCATGCCTCCAGTGTTAAACACAAGTTTATAATTTGACAGTGTTGGGGCTGCCACGTCACTGGAGGTCCTCTGCTATGTTTAGTGTATATTATGTTCATATTCTGCCAGTTTTTTCCCCAAACCTCAGAAGACCCTCAAAGAATTGGAAACGAGTATCTGATGTGAGAATTACAGTCGGTTTTTGTTTGTTTGTTTTTATTTTTTTGATACAAGGTCTCTCTGTGCAGTCTTGACTGTCCTGTAGACCAGGCTGGCCTTGAACTCACAGAGATCTGCCTGCCTCTGCCTTGTGGATGCTGGGGTAAAGGCATGTGCTACCACTGCCTAGCTAGATTATAGATGATTTTGTAGACTGGCCCCAGTTAAAGCTTGAAATGTCAGTCAAGATGCCAGGTCAGTACACGAGACTTTAAAATTAATGTCCATAAGGCATGAGCCTGGAATACACTCCATTCTTCTTTTTCTCTTCTGAGGATGAAATGTAATTGATAAATTGTATCTGCGATGATGAAAATACTGTCTTATAGAACTGTCCGACATTAAATGTAACTGTTCTACATACAGCTCTCTGAACATCCCTCCACTCTCACCCATTGGATGAATTTCACACATCCTCAAATCACAGAGTGGAAGCCAAGGCCCAAAGACAAGAGTCAGTCATACATTCAGGTCCTAGCCTAATTCTTTAGGAAGAAGAGCACCTACCAAGACAGGTGATATCTAACCACAATTTCCCAAGAACAACATGCTGAGGCAGAGCAGGGCTGGAAACTAAGGAGGTCAGGAACCTGAAGGACCATGTAGAGGGACAATTGGACTTTGTTTCATTACATAGTCCAGATCTCTTTATGTAGTCAGGCTAACTTGGAATTAAAAACCCTCCTGCCTCAGCCTTCCAAATACCACCACCATGTCTGACCTAGCATTCTTGGATGTTGAATGCACAAACAACTTATTTATTCAAATGTCAATTCTATTCATGTAAAGCATTTAATGAGGTAACAGAAGGCATCCCCTCTGTAGATCCACAAGGTCAATAGAACCAGTGAATTCCCAGTTAAGTTCCTCTTCCCACCCCTGGGTCTTTCGGGATTCTTCTTCAGGGAAGTGATTCCTAGTCCAAAGTCAAGGCCTTCAGTAAAATCTCTTCTAAGTCCTTGCCAGCTCAGGGTCGTGGGCAGTAGAGATGGAACAAGCAGACATCTCAGAGGTGTCTCAGAAACCCTGGGAGGTTTGTCTTTCAGAGATGATTCAAAAAGTGAGAATAGTTTCTCTTCAGGAAGACAATCAGGCTATAGAAAAATGCCTGCTTTCCTGAGTCAGTAAAGCTGTCCCTAGCCAGGCGAAGGTGGTACACTCCTCTAATCCCAGAAAGAAAAAAAAAAAAAAAAAACAGTAGGTTACTGTCCATGTCTTTCCTTTCTAATATCTTTCTTTTCTCCATTTTCATCCGTCTCAAACTTTTGTGGCTCTCTACTCATTCAGTGCTTCTTAATTTTGAGTTTCCTTGAATCCAATTCCATTATCACTAATCTAAAAAGTTACCTACAAACTAAATGGGTGAGTCTCAACCTTCATCATAGATAATAATCTCATGTGGAACTTTGAAAAGATTGCAATGCCCAGGACTCATCCCATACTAACTAAAACAGAAACTTCCAAGGGGTGTTATCCAACTATGGGCTTTTTTGTTTGTTTCTTTGTTTGTTTTGTTTCCTTAGTGATTACTCTAATGTAAAAATCGCTACTGTAGCTTTGTTTTGTTACTTTTCTGGTCCTGTGATAAAACACCGTGATCAAAGCAACTTCTAGAAGGTGAAAGACCTGTATAAATACAGACCCTGCTAGCAGAAAGAATAGAGCCAAAAATCTAGCAGGAAAAATAGAGCCAAAAATCTAGCAGGAAGAGAAGAGCCAAAAATCTAGGTTAGCCTGTTCCGTGACTCTGTTCTAGGAACTAGCTGACCATAAAGTTAGATTATAATCTTGAGAAATGGGGAGTTACCCCCTTGTGATTATCACTGATATTTTCAGAATTTTCCAATGACACCCTCCTACCCCCTTTGGATTGCGGTTTCTTCTCCTAAATATCCCTTCTCCCAGCTACTCGGGGGTCAAACTCCTCTTCCCCTGCGTAGGAAATGAGTTTCGGCCCCAGCGCGCTGGTTCCTGTCAATAAACCTTGTGTGATTGCAGCAAGGACAGTCTCCCATGAGTTCCTGAGGGTTTGTGTTATCCCGAGACTTGAGTGAATGAGAGTCTCCCCACTCTGGGGTCTTTCAAAGGGAGGGTTTATTTGACTTATGGTTCTAAAGGGGTGAGAATCCATCATGGTAGAGAAATGGGGCAGGTATGGTGGCTGGACAGAAGCTGAGGGCTCACATCTTGAACAGACAGTAGGAAGCAGAGACAGCAAATGGGAAATGGCACCAGGTTTTAAACTCTTAAAGTCTGCCTCCAGTGACATCCTTTCTCCAATAAGGCCACAGCCAGAGCCTTTCCAAACAGTGCCACCAACTGGGGACAACACACTCAACTGCCAGGTAGTAGAAAGGACATCTTATTCACTACCACTTTTTGATTCTCTCCCACCCCCCCACCCCCCGCCCCGGAAAAATAAATGACGGTCCTGCTATTCTTGGGAGGCGGGTCTTGTCCCTTTCCACTTCTGTCAATTATCCCTAGTGTCTCCCACACCTGACTTTGACCTCTTCACTCATCTGCATCTCACATAACAAAATCAAATAACAAATGGAGGTAGCTCAGACTTTTAATTCCAGCACTTGGGAAGCAGAGGCAGGTGGATCTCTCTAGCCAGCCTGGTAAAACAAAAACAGTTCCAGGACAGCCAGGGCTACACAGAGAAACCCTATCTTGAAACAAACAAACAAACAAACCAAATACCTCCCTCCACTCAGTACCCATCTTTGCTTCAGCTTTCTCTTCCTTCTCATTCTACTTTTTCCCGCCACCACAACCCATCCACCAGTCACAACTGTATACCCAAGGATCCTGCTCCACCTCCTAAGTGCTAAGTGCCAGGACTACTGGTATGAGCCACGATGGCTCGTTTATATGGTCCTGGGGACTGAGAACAGGTGTCATGCATGCTTGGTAAGCACTCTGCTAACTGAGCTATACCCATAGACTCACCTTACCATCTTAAAAGGATAGATTCCCCATCAGTATCCTTTCTTCCAGCTTCACTACAAAGCTCTTTGGGATGGCTGCCTCCTCTTCCATGCCTAGACTCCATCCCCATGCTCCTTCAGCCTTTACACTGCTCTCCCGGAACCATGTCGTTCTCTTCTGTCAAGTCAATTCAACCAGTGCTCACTTACTGACACTTCAGACTCCAGGTCTCTCATCTAAGCAGCAGATTCAAGTTTACAACTTCCTACTAAGCATTCAGGCATG